ACACGTGCCAACCAGGCTGGCACGGTCCGCCGACATCAAAACAACGGTGCGTCAGCTGATTATTGGTCCTCCGATTCAGGAGAAATTATTAACGCGGGAACGCCGGCGCTAAATAAAGGCGGTAGGATTCACGGCTTTGCATGATTGTGTGCAATATTTTTTATAGTATCAAGCGAGGGGTATTGCTGGAGTTTTGCAAATAAATATTTTATTCTCAGTTTGGCTATGCGATCGTGAACACTTTATTTTCATAGATACGATATGAAATAGTATAAACAGGCCAACCCAAGGCTATGTAGGCCAACCTTAGACTTCGCATAGCCATGGACATTGCGTAGGAAGGTACTCGCCGATCGTACCACGATACCACGGGCAAGATATCAGACTTTTGGGAGTTTTGTGTCGCTGAAATGTATTTTAAGTGCTAAGAAGGAAAATAATTCAATTTAATGTCATGTACAATGGACATTTAGCCATTCCAAGCATATAGTTTGCCTGGCTTCGCCAACCAGATAGCCAGGTTTATTCCAAGAGCTTCTAAAGAGGTAGTGGATTTAATATCGTTTCTATTACATTTATTTGATAATCCTACATATCAGTAAACCTGCCACGTTATCATTCTCGTCGAGCGATTACCGGCACATCGTACCAATTGGTACGATGTGCCGGTAATCGCTCGCCGAGGATGCCAATGCAGCGTCGAGCGTCCGATGGTTTACGATAGGAATTATAACAATAGTTTTAAACTAGCGCTTTTTAGAACCATGGTCCGAAATGGTAATTCAAAGAACCTCTTCCCCTTTCAACTCACCTGAAAAGGCTGCTTTCGTGTACCACCCAGCACCCGTTTCGTAGATATATCAAAATGATAACCGGAGGCGAAGCAAGCCCTCCGGTTATCATTTAATCGTGTGCTGTGCTCCACAATCATTGCGCCGCGCGCTCTTCCTTCTTATCGGCCCCCTTGAGATCGTATCCATCAATATATATTTGCTTCAGTTCTAAGTTCTAATGACTTGTATTGTAGAGAAACAATTTTAGAGCGTTTAACAAAATAATTGCATAACCTATGAGCGATAGGAAAAGCCCAATCGTCCAACTCATAAAAAACATTGGGACACAAACAACTGGAAACTGATGGTAGTTGGTACTTTCGCGCATAGGCGGCGGAACGGGGAGGGCACCGGGGCACCGTGCCCCCCTTTGATTTTGGCATTTTAACATGGGCTCTATGGGCGTTACATGGAAAGAATGGGACCAAAAGTCGGCAGTGCCCCCCCCCCCTTCCCCAGTTGAGCTGGGCGCAGGTACTAAATAGCATCAAAGGAAATCCTATATTCATCTCGCCGCATTTAAGCGCACCAATCGAAAGACGACAGCGTGACCGCGCTGACAGGCAATCAACCTGGCCACATAAAACTAGCTAGTGCAAGGAAGATGTCTATATAAACCACTGAACCATGCAAAGCGTTCATCTAAATAAAATATGAGTAAAGATGACCCGTTTGAGGGCAGACTGGCCAAACAGTGACGTTACACGCGGATCTCAACACTGCACAACCCATTCATCAAAAAAGATCTCGTGGATCCCTATATACGTCATAACTAGCCCTAGTACGGGGGTATATAGCCATGGACGTAAATGGCCGGCTTAAGGCACAGAATCCCAATTGTCATCCCCATTACGTGGTCCCCAGAAGTCGCCAGGCCGAGAGCCAATGGCAGTTAAGCACATCTTACACGTGCCGACAAAGGTGACACAATGAATCAAATAATGAGTCCGTTAATAAGCCTGCCTAATTCTGCATGTAGACTGCTATTTACCACCACGGCGGAAGGCTAAAACGCATCCATACAGCTCAACATAGGTGTCAATTTCCGCCGGGTTGGGGGTGCTCAAGCTCTTTAAATTCCCCGCCGGCTCGGCTGGCTTGGCTTTGGAGCCCCAACAGACGGTGCGGGTCAAGGTCACCGCTGAGGCGGCGGCGGATTTGCTGCGCCCGGGCAGTGGGCACCCTCAATTCGGTGAAAATCGACACCCATGCAGCTCAACATGACAAAACGCTGCATACAAGCGCACGTCCTCGCATTTAATTGACGCATTTAACTGCGTCACTAACCTCGTACACTGTACAACACTGGTGAGATGACTGTCCGAAGGAAACTGCCGACTTTGGCTGGCAACATTCAGGGTTGGTGACTTATGTACTGAGTTCGGCTGGCTGACAGCGATGTGACTTCAGGACCGGTTGATGAACGGGCCATCCTAGCCCCATACTACAGGAGCCCAGCTGGTCTTGGCGAGCGGCGGCGACTGGACGAGGCTGGACCCCTACTACAGGAGCCCAGCTGGTGCTGACGAGCGGCGGTTACTGGACGAACGGGTCAGCCTGGACCCCTATTGCAGGAGTCCGGCTGGTCTTGGCGAGCGGCGACGACTGGACGAGGCTGGACTCCTACTGCAGGAGTCGAGCTGGTCCTGTCGAGGAAATAGTTCACCTTTAACATGGGATTTTAAACTGAGCAGTCTGATAGAGCAGATTTGTGTATGCCCTATATTTGAACCGTTTGAGATATTCACCATTTATCAGTGAATATTGGTGCTTAAATTCATGTTCTAGTGCTCATTTACAGCAAGCAGAAACCTCTTCAACACACACAGTGGCCAATCAGCGATGAGAGCACTTACAGGAGCAGAATCCCTTGCAGCTGATAGGTTGTTCAGCAGTTAGTGTTCATAACTCTAATCATTAAAATAATGAAATCCCTTTAGAAGAAGTGTGTAATTCCAAGTTAGAATACATTTAAATTTTATTCATCACATTTTTAACACATCTTTTTGAATTTTATTAATCAAATTACTCACAGAAGGTGAACTATTTCTTTTAACACTTACCTTGCTTCAATGGTGACATGTAGCTCTTGCAGCAGAGAAGGCACAGCATTTGGCTGCAACTTCAAATATTGACTTGTTGCTATCAATTATTCAGTTTTGAAATGCATACAGGTACAGTGAATCTTGGGTTCTCCTGTAAGAATGCTGACCGCAGAAGCAGAAGTTCATCCAAAGCTTGTGCCTGAAAAAGGGCCAGGTTTAATATATGAGTGAAATGAAGACTTATAGGTAAGGTTTTGACTAGACCCCTGGGTCACAACAGGAGATGACCCCCGTGATTGGTGGGACCACCAGGCACCAGCACTGGCACAGTCTGTTCTGACCACCGCACACCTATCAGCCCGAGAGCACACTAAATTGCATGTTAAAGCTCCATTAATGCTTTTTTCAATTTTGGCCATCCATTTTGTTGGGTCCATCATGTCCATCACCAAGCCACATTTAAAATGCACTACACTACATCCCCCACCACCTGACCACACCAGGCCAAATCTGCACCGCGCTACACAAAATCCGCACTGCACCAAGCTAAATCCACGCCACACCAAAGCCTCACCAGCCGGACAAGCCAGCACAGACGAGATCTTGTTGAAATTGCCATGCTTTGCAGAGTGCATACTGGCCTACCTGAACCTGACCTTACCCAACATATGAGCCTGACTGTCCTTAGCACTGGGAGCTCATTGAGACCAGGCCCCACAGGCCTAGTGGCCTCCTGAAACCTGATTTCCATATGGGGTGAGCTATTTAAGAAAGAATGGTGATCGGATATCGAACCCGAGACAAGACAGCAATGAGCAGTGGGCGGTTCATGCAACCATAATCATGTTTCCTTACCACAAGTATCAAAGCAAAAACAAAAATAGCTACCTATCGAATTCAAATTTCACTGGAACCTCACCTGCATGGATCTTAAGTGAAAGGTACATCTTGATACATCTGCACGAAAGATACATCTTGATCCACTCAAGGCCCTAAAGGATCCACTCATCTCAATCTTGTTTTTCTGCATCCAGGGCATGCAACACTTCTGGTCAAGGCCGTATATAGGATATCGCTTCTGGTATTTTTGGCACAACTTACTCGACTGCTGAGCTCAAATGCAAATTGCAATCACGGTCATAAAATACTGAATCAAGGCCATATTACTGAATATTGAATCGCAATGTATATTCAGTCGATGTACCCCTCGTTCGATGTCTCTCAGACGACGAAGATTGTACGTCGTCCGGCCAATCCTCTTCTAGGTCAACGGGGGCTCGGCTGCAATTATGGAATGTGATTGGCCAAACGGCGTAGAATCTTTGTCGTCCGAAAGACATCGAACAAGAGTAATGTCGCTACTGCGCCATTGTTGCATCGAATTCGCCCCATAGAAGCACGTGTTAACTCTCTCCCATAGGGCCCTGGGTAAACTCTTGTACACAATCAGCTGACGGCATGCCTCCCGCGTCCCCTGGCTTGAAGCTTCGGCTCCGTGTTACCTTAGTATTCAATGACCGTGGTGCCAACAACAGACTTTTTCTCGCGCAACTTTTGACTGACCCTCACTGCTACCATATTGCTTCCATATTATGCTGTGGAAAGCTTTACTTCACCAAGTGGCTAAAAACCTCCATCAAGGTATATTTTCTTAGCATTTTTTCGGACGTTTTGGGGGGGCCAAACCGGCCACTTTAGGCCTTTGGGGGGGCCATGGCCCCCGTGGCCCCCCCTGGATCCGCCAGTGCCCATTACCTAGCTTTGCAAACACAATTTGGGGACGTTCCGGATCAATAACGTTCAAATTTTGATGCAAGTAACCGTGGGCGGACATTGTTATTAGATGTTGCTATATTTCTCTTCCGACGTCCCACATCCTTCAATCAGCATCGATAGCCGGCTATAGCCATATGGCCCACCCCACCTAATTCTCGTATTCGCGACGCGACGTAGGTACGTACCAGAAAATGCATCATGTTTAGATAGATATTCCCATTTCCAGGTTCCACGCTCAGTTACCGTTCCGTGCCGTTCCAAATCACTCAGAACTGAAACCTGTAGAGATTCAGTTTCAGCGCTTGGAAGTGTAGTTACCTCTAGCAGCCGTTCAAAGGAACTCTAATTATACGACATACGTCGGTCGTCTATTATCACACGGTTCTGATCAAATCATGACAAAACTACGGGACACATGCCGCAAAATTGAACGTAGGTAGTTAGCATCGATAACAAAACGGCATATCACACGTCAAAATTAGGAATCAGAGTGGGTAGTTTATGACTGAGTACAACAATGTCTTGCAAACAAATTAAACAAACCATATGCATGGGTTATAATTGCAATTCGGATAAAACATCTCGCAATATTGCTCTAAACAGCTCATTATTGACAGAAAGTACAACGATCAACGTCTGGATAAAGCTATAATTCGTCCTAGTAAAAACCACAGACGCCTTATCATTCGGAGCTAAAAATATTTTGCAACGATCTCGTATAAGGCCTGTCGGCATACTGGCTCCTAAATTTCAAATATCACACAGAAACGCATCACCCCCCCCCCCCCCCCCCCCCCCAACACAAAGAGTGCGCATCATACGAGCCACAGCCTGTCGAATTCCGCAGTCTCCGCGGGCGGCGGTCACTGCCATTCCACCTGTAATCGCCACCCGTTACCCTCTGCCAGTCTGCGCACCTCACCCGCGTCCCTCCGGGACAGCTGCGGGCACATCACCATCCGGAGTGTCTCCAGACGCGGACACTGCAGCACCAGTCGCAGCAGAGGCTCCACAGTCACCTGTCCGCAGTGCTCCAGTGAGAGCGTCTCCAGCTGCGCCAGCCCGCCAGCGTCCAGTGCCTCCTCCAGCAGTGTGTCTGTGATGGTGTCACAGTTCTGTAGGGTGAGGGTGGTTAGCGCGGGAGAGGCCAGCGCGCGCCGGAGCAGGTCCATCGGAGGAGAGCCGTCACTTTCCTCCGCTAGCCAAAGGTGCTCCAGGTTGGAGAGAGGTCCGCCTGGCGCCGGCTCCGACCTAAACCGACACATAATTAGAATCAGCGACTGCAGCGAGCGGCAGTGGCGCAGAGCAGCCGCCAGCGGGACTCCCGTGACCCCGTTCAGAGCTAGGTTGGTCAGCCCGGCACCGCGCGCGGCCAGCAGCTCCGCCAGTCCCGGGCACGGTTCACACGGTGACATCAACACCAGTTCTGTGAGCTTGCTCAGCTGTTGCGCCGCTTCCAGAGACGACTCGGGATCCATGTCGAGCCGGAGCAGGGTGCAGTCGGGACAGGCGGCGGCGGCCACCTCCAGTCCGGCGGCCGAGGAGCCCTCCAGACTGGTGAGGGCCAGAGGAGCCCGCTCCGGCTGCTGCAGCATCAGCTGGGTCACGCCCCACAGAGAGTCCGGGTGGTCGAAACTGCACGGAAAGGACGGATGAGTCAGCAGTCGGACACAACAGCACAAACGGCGGCATATACACTTATCAACCGACCATCGGAAGGAAGCAGATAATACGAGAACAGAGGGTACCAGCTATGTCGAATACGATCGATAGATTAATTATTCGCTTTGCGTTTGCTTTTCTAAATTGAAAATAAGTGACTTCATTCGGAACCCACCATTCTTCAGATCTTTCGATTCCCGCCGCTTGCAAATAAAAATATTTTTATGTAAGTAAAACAATCGTAGAATCTCTTACGCTAGCTAATTCGCGATCAGTTTAAGGTACCTCAACTGAAGTACCGCTAAACCCATTTCACGCAACTGGGTAAGATCGATCACTCACTGTACGAGGTTGGGCATGTTTTTGATGACGCCGAAGGCCGACTCGGGCGAGAGGTTGCAGCCCTCCACACTGAGTTTGGTAATGGACTGTCCGGCGGTGGTGGTACCGTGGGAGGGTACCGATGCCGCCAGGCTGTTCAGACCCAGGTCCGTCACCCCTGAGCGTTGTACATCCAGCTCCCTGTGGGTACGGGGAGGAGTGACGGCGTCAGCGGAGCGGCACTGTCGCAGCAGTCATGGGGGGGGGGGGGGGTGACACTGCTCGGCACCGTAATGTTACAGGTGACGGCGAGACCGTTCTGCCGTGCAAAGGCAAACATGATTATGTTAGGGTGACTTCTTATCTGACGCAAGGACCTCTGACCCGACGTAATCGTTTTTTGCCTTTGCACGGCAGCGTTAGCGAGGAGTCTTGATATCTCTATATAAGCTCTCTTTGCCCAGATCGAAAGTCACGAGCATTTGCCAGAAATATGGCATCTGCATCTGAGAGCATTGTCTGAAGCAACTGGCAGCAAATCGTCACTGTTCTCTGAAGAGTGGCACTCACTGACCGGAGTCGCGTACACGGTGCAGTACACTCACCGCCACCGGAGTTACATGCAGAAAATTTACCGTAACTGAGCGTACTATTCTTACCGGAGCTGCATACGCCGTGCAGTATCCTTATCGGAGCTGCGTGCGGTATCCGTATGTACTGGAACTGCGTGCGGTATATTCCCCAGAGCTGCGTTCAGTACCCGGGTTCAGTACTGTCCGGCCAGTAGCCTTTGGTACTCACTGGAGCTGCGTGCAGTAGGCGCCGATGACGGACATGACCCGGTCGGACGTGTTGGTGCTGCTCAGGTTGATACTCTCCAGCCCCCGCAGGGTGGAGAAGAGCGCCAGCTGGCCCTGCAGCGGCAGCTTGGCGTTGCCGGACAGGTCCAGATGCCGGAGATTCTGGGAAACAATGGCGGGAACTGGTGAGTAATCCGGTATAAAAAGGAAAAGGTGTAGATCCTGACCTTGGAAGTTGGAGACCTCGGATATGGGCAGTAATCGCCACGCCATGTGTGGATCGCCCATGATCGTAAATACAATACAATACAATACAATACAATGATCAGGGCTGCGGAGTCGATGGATTTTCAGTGACTCTGACTACAACTTTGGCTTCCAAAAACCAACTCCGACACTGACTCTGGTCAGAACTTTCAACTCTGACCGACTTCAACTCTGATTCTGACTCTGCAGCACTGCCAGGTCTGCAGAGTCAATGGATTTTTCGGTGACTGACTCATCTGACTCTGACTCCAGTCAGAACTATCAACTCCTACTCTGACTTCACAGCCCTAAATGTAATGATACTTATAACTTTAAAACTGTTTATGAGTGGTGTCAAAGGCCCAGCCATATGGAACAGCATAAGTCCAATGAAATGAATCTTCCTAAATCCTAGGTTGGCTTATAGCACATCTTCATATTTTGACAAGAGAAAACAGATGTTCACCAAAGCTTTGCCATAAAATTTTGCACTAAAAGTTGTTGCATAAAAGGTAAGCTCAGGAAACAAGTAAGAAGGAGATGTAAAAATCCCACCTTTCTGTGCTGAGATCAAACTGTTATCCTGGTACCAGTAAGATTGAGTCACCTACTCACCACACATCTATTGGTAATGGTGTTGAGGACTGTGCCCATGTTCTTGCTCAGCCTGGAGAGATCCAGGTCCTGCAGACTGTAGTCAAGCAGAAGCTGAAGGTGGCCAATCCTTACACCATTGTTCTTCAGGTATTTGATCAGTTGACTCAGCAGTACACCAGCTGGAAGACAACATCAGTGCTCAGTCAAATTAACCTTTATCTATCAAACTATGAAGACATCAGATTACAATGTGGACCATTTACTACATGCAGCAGTAGTATATACTTACTATCCTGTTAACACATTAGAGGCTTATTATCAGTAGGTATTTGCCAATTGTTATTACCCATCCCAAGACATAGGAAACATGTCCTATCATTAAGTTTAAATGGTGTCAGGTGTTTTATATATGCACTGCACAACAAAATGGTAAATTGGTACACCCTGATTACTGATACTCACGGAGGTTGGAAAAAGGTCCGAGTAGATATAAGCACTCTGACTTTCCATGAAAATGCTCATCATAGTGTTTACACCATAAATTGTCCATATTTTGAGAGATGTTTTTGCAGCATAGCTCTTCTAGCGTCTTTGGATCAGCAGTGTGAGGCATGCTCCAAAAAATAAAGATGAGCAGCAATGAATGAAACTTGACTGCTGAACTTCTTAACTGCTTGACCTGCTTAACATTGAAGCTTAACTTCAACTTGAATCAGTTGGGGGAGGTTTGGTCAATGGTTGTCATTTTTAGCACATGCCATTTTTGGCAACCATGTGCTAAAAACAGGGGTGTAACTTTTGATTTTGAGATGGGGGTGCACTTGGTGATGGGGGCGACATTCAATGAGGATAGGGGCGCTTTCCAAGGAGCATAAATGGTGCATATCTCTCAATAGGCGCGCACACAGGATTTTTGAACGGGGGGGGGCACGACCTTCAAACTGCCCCCCTCCCCCATGACGAAGGGCCCCAGGCCCCAGCCGAAAAATTCCCCGACGCCATTCTATTTCAGTTGACTTGAAAGTTGGCTTTTGTCGATACATGATTAAAACAATCACTTCAGTACCTGTTCAATTTTCAAAGAATTGAATCTGAATGTTCTATTTTTGTTTACGCAGCATGTTTCATTCAAATACGATTCAGTGATTAGTTATCACCATCTTAACAATCACGTAAAATATTCTATTAATAAGCGTGGATGCAAGGCCCTCAAAAATCAGTCCGTGTAGCGCCTTACTGCCAGCCGGCCGACCGACCCGGGCTACTGGCTAGCTAGAAGCGGAGGCTATAGTCACGGGTAAGCCCGGATGTGTATGAGCGGGGCAGCACCCCCTTTGTCAATTCGCATATCTATTCAGCCACATAGACATGAAAAATCATTACAATGATTCGTAGCGAGATCACAGACAAGAGATTTAACTTTTCTCACTTTTATACCACAAATTACAAAGACACGATTTTCAGGCGGCATGCCCCACGTTCCTAAGGTACCAGTCGTAACAGATATTCAGGAAGCCCATACCAGGGCACGTACGGCCGACGGCGGCCCCGATCACCCACCTTTCGCTGTCCCGGCGGCGAGCGAGGGACCCACGGCGACCGCGCACCTCACCGACAAAGCAGCACTGTCACAACGAAGAAGCCCTCAAGGGCCCGAAGATCCGAGGGTCCTTTGAGGCCTTCTGAGCCCGCTGAGGGCCGTTTGACGTCAGCTGAGGGCACTTTGGACCTAGCTGATGGCCCCTTGAGTCCTTCTGAGCGCCATTTGACGCCAGCTGAGGGCCATTTGATGTCAGCTGAGGGCCCTCTGACACCTGCATGGGGCCCTCTGACACCAACTATGGGCCCTTTGAGGCCTTCGGAGGGCCGTTTGACGTCAGTTGAGGGCCCCTTGAGGCCTTCTAAGGACCCTTTGACGCCAGCCGAGGGCCCTTTGAGGCCCTCTGAGGGCCGTTTGACACCAGCTGAGGACCGTTCGACGTCATTTGAGAGCCCTCTTACACCAGCTGGGGGCCCTCTGACGCCAGTTAAGGGCCCTTTGAGGCCTTTGGAGGGCCGTTTGGCGCCATCTCATGGTCCTTTGACGCCCTTCAAGGCCTTCTGAGGGCCCTTTGACCCCAGCTGAGGGCCCTTTGAGGTCTTCGGATGGGCCATTTGACGCTAGCTTAGGGCCCTCTGACGCCAGTTGAGGGCCCTCTGACACCAGCTGGGGACCCTCTGACGCCAGCTAAGGGCCCTTTGCCACCTTTGGAGGCGTTTGACGCCGGCACTGGGCCCATTGGCGCCTTTTAAGACCTTCTGAGGGCCGTTTGCTGTCGGCTGAGGGCTCTTTCAGGCCTTTTGAGGGCCCTTTGACGCCATCTGAGGGCCCTCTAGGCCTTCTGAGAGCCCTTTAAGGCATTTTGAGGGCCCTTTGACGCCAGTTGAAGGCCCTTTGGGACCTTTTGAAGGTTATTGAAATTTTACATCTATCACCTTCCCCTTGATTGCGCTGGACATTGTATGGCCTCATTTGGGCCTGCCGGGGCCCGAGATGGGCTTTCCTCATCCTGGTCTTTTTAATCGTCTTTTTAGCTCATTTTAGACAGTCTTCGGCGGTCTTAAGAGTAGAGGCCCATTTGAGAACCATTTGAGATGGCCCCCCTTTCGAATGGGGGGGGGGCACGGGCCCGTGTACCCCCCCTCCTTTTGTGTGCGCCCTTGTCTCTCGATTTCGGTAAAATGCTTTGTTGGTATATTTCGAAATTCAGACTTGAGAGTGATCACCATTTTGTGTTCCTCCGGTTTAGTTTGAACACAGACTGATGTTGCAAATGGGATTGAAGTTCATTTATATTAACCCAAGGCCCTCTAACCGGCGCACCGATAAACGGAAGTCGAGGTTTCTGCTTGTAGGTACAACTTACAATAACTTTTGAAATAAAATGAATATATTTGCATGTACAATTTTAATTGTATGAACACTAAACAATAAACATCCCAATGTTACAGTCCAATGGCATAAAGTTGGGTATTACGAAATGACATTAAATTCATTCGCACGAATATCAATCAATCAATTGAATTTATAACGAAATTGCATTTTACTTTTTATTCCACCCTTTTATAGAATCGGGGTGCCCTTTTATGCTCGGCGACTGGCGACACCAACTTTTGCTGGAATCGCCTTCTTTATTGGGCGCCTTTCTACTGCTGGGGTCGCCTTTCTCCTGCTGAGGTCACCCCGCTTCTGCTAGGCGGGACTTACTTCTGATGGGCGCTCCTCCTCTGCTGGGGTCTCACTTTTCTACTGGAGTCTGACATTTCCCTTCCCTGATATGCTCTATTTTTGCTAGAGGCGTCCCTCTTCTGCCGGGCGAGCCCAACTTCTGCTGAAGGTGCTCGGGTAGGTCTGTTGGGGGCATTGCTCTTTTGCTGGGGAGCCCCTGTTCTGCTGGGACGCCACACTTCCGCCGGGGCCGCTTGGGGCGCCCCACCTCTGCTGAGTGCTGGGGGCGCCCCGGCCCCACTGCTGCTGGACGAACCCAACTTTTGCTCCAGGTGCCCCTTTTGTATTGAGGCGCCTCTCTTCTGTAGGCATCCCTCTCCTGGTAGGGCGCCCCTTTCTGCTGGGGCGGCCCTATGCTGGGGGCACTCCTCTTCTGCTAGGGGCGCCCCACTACTGCTGGACGAGCCCAACTTTTGCTTGAGGTGCCCCATTGTTATTGGAGTGCCTCTCTTCTTCTGGAAGCATCCCTCTCCTGCTGGGGCGCCCCCTTTCTGCTGGGGAGCCCTTCTTGTGCTGAGGGCGCTCCTTTTCTGCTGGAGACATCTCTCTTCTCACTTCTGGTGGGGCGCCCTTCTTCCGCTGGGGCGCCCTTCTTCTGGTGAGGCGCCCCTTTCTGCTGGGGTCGCCCGTGTTCTACTGAGGGCGCTATTCTACTGGGCGAACCGCAAGTTCTGCTTGAGGTGCCTCATTCCTACTGGGGGCGCCTCTCCTCCGCTGGGGCGCCAGCCTTATGCTTGACGATCCCAACCTACGTTGGAGCCTGGAGGTGCCCCACTTCTGCCTCGGGCGCTCCACTTTTTCTGAGAAAGTCCCGTTTTTGTCGGGGTGCCCCTTTCATCCATTTTTAGGGAACGATACGACTGGACGCTTCCCAAGCCCGCAAGCAGCACGACGCCGGTCATGAGACGGAATGTAGCCGGGAAATCACCCTCGCCATCTGATCAAGAGCTTATCGGTGTCGGGCGGCGTGTGGGGTGCCGCTTAGCCTATGGGGGTGCACTTTGACGTGATGGGGGTGCACTTTCAGGGGATGGGGGTGCACCTGCACCCCCATACATATAGAAAGTTACACCGCTGGCTAAAAATGACAACGCTATCAGCTATTTTTAGCAACGATGAAGCCGATTTCACTCCTCAGCGAGGAAATCACGATTTTGGAAATACAAGCACTGATTTTGGAAAAGAAGTGCTGCCACCTGGTGCAAGAAGAAGAAACCAGCTTTAATATGGCCGTTGTTTGTATGGTAGTCCAACGTTGAAGTATACCCTTTTTTGTGGCCCGAAGTTGGAACTTTAAATTGAAGCATCCGAAAATGATCGATATTGATCGAAATCATGATGTTGATGAAAAAAATAATATGTTAAGTTGAGAGAGGAGGCCATTTTATCCAGATGCGGTGGTTTACTTCTTGAAATTATTTTTGCTTACGACGACTGCCATGTAATGAGGGATAATTAGCAGCCGTCATTAGCAAAAATAATTTCAAGAAGTAAACTACTGCATCTGGATAAAATGGCCTCCTCTCTCAACTTAAAATATTATTTTTTTCATCAACATCATGTTTTCGATCAATATCGATCATTTTCGGATGCTTCAATTTTAAGTTCCAACTTCAGGCCACAAAACAAACTACCATACAAATAACAGGCATATTAAAGCTGGATTCTTCGTCTTGCACCAGGTGGCAGCACTTCTTTTCCAAAATCAGTGTTTATCTTTCCAAAATCTTCATTTCCTCGCTGAGGAGTGAAATCGGCCTCATCGTTGTCAAAAATAGCAGAATCGTTGTCATTTTTAGCATGTGTGACAAAAATAGCACGTGCTAAAAATGACAACGATTGACCAAACCTCCCCCGACTGGAATCCTGCAGAAAAGCAAATTAAAACAAATCAAATGAAGTAGAGTGGGCCAAAAGGATTCTGGAAAGCCCAGTTCGAGTTGCAGTTGCCAGTGATTGGTGAATAGTGATAATAGTGAAATAGATAGCTATCGTGATCGATGGTGAGCCCAATTACCCTTGCTTCTATAGGTCAATGATGATGGTGAGCCCCTGCATTCAAGAAAGTTAAAATCCCTCAATGTGCTGTGCAGTGAGCAATTCCCTTCTGCAACAACACCTTCCTGCACCCACGGTATATAGAGAACTGCCTGCCCTGCACCAATAATACTTTGACTTGCCACAATGGATAACAATAAAAACATAACACCAATACAACGTTGGGCAACAACTTGCATGGTAAAAAATGACAGAACAGGAGTGGTTGCCTCTAGTTAAATATCACAAGAGCTATAATAAAAATATTTGTTGAAATTTATAAGTGTATTTCTGAAAAATCACATTGAACTATTGGACGTAAACGTTTGTAATTAACCCTTCATATTTCATCTATATATTTTGATCATATTTCATCTGCCAATCATGGCAAAAAAAGAAAATAATTTATAAAAAAATAAAAACGGCACGAAAGCCATGTTGGAGTTAGACCCTACCCTTTTTGTTTCGCTATCACGACGCAGATGTTTCGAAAGCAGCGCGAACCCTAGACTCTATTTACATTTCATCAGCTGATTTATGTAGAAGGACTGGAAATTCAGTGCTTCTTTTATTTTGGGTTGTTAGCAGTTCTTCATTCTGTTTTATTCTGTCCTTCTGTTGAAGTAAGTTATGAAGCAGGTCCATTAGCCGCATTACAATGCAATAACTGTATTATCTCATGCCATGCAGTCCTCTCAATCCTGTATTATCATTATTGGCATCGAGCGACGACCATCATTTGAAAGCATTACAATTAAACGGTTGTCTTCTCGTCGTCTCATTGTTTTTCTTTCAGGTGGCCGCCATTTCGTATTAACTCAGGCTATTGTTTTCAGACCGCTTATAGCGGCTGACTCCATCCTCAGTGAGCGGATGACCGACCTGCACTGAGATAGAGCGGCAGCCATGTTGCGCCGACCGGCCGTCGGCTTGCTCCGCTGCAGTCGCCGCCAGTGCCCGCTGCTGGCACGACGGCTCAGCTCTGCGCAGCTGGCACATGCGCTCAGGCCATTCTACTTTGTGGTTCACCCTGACCTGTTTCATCAGTATCCTGACTTTAAGGTGCGAATAATGACTAGAAATACTGAGTGACGAGTGTGTATGTGAATGCGTCAGTTCTCTGGCATTTTTCCATATCGTTCTTGGGCTAATTGTTCTTGCTCTCATTCTCGCAATCTTGGGAGTGGTTTTCTAATGTTTTTTAGCCATGGCTTTTGTAAGCTCGGTATCAGTGACAATATGCTTAGCGTCTAGCGATGTTGTCATCTTTGTCTTACGGAATTAATTTATTTGCTCCCTTTCAGAATGTGAATGAAGGCTCTCTTCAGTTTCTCCAAGCTCACCTGGACAAGCTGCTGAACTCGAAGCGAGTGGCTCCGAGCACCGTAACGTTTTACGTTCGCGACGTCGAGCAGAAGGGGAACCGCGCACAAGGTGAGTTGTCGAACGCTGGACATTGCTAGCCTGACATTGTAGGCCGTAGCCAGAGAATATCGGCTTTATTTTCTGTCATCATCGTAGATTTGGGCCAGTATACCTTTGTTTTATGTTCAGTCACTGTTGTATTTGTGACTTGCTTCTGGGGGCGTACATAAGTCGGGGATGCTCGTTGAGTAAGGTGCCGCCTCCACTAACCGCCTCTCTTCTCCACAGCGGCTCCGGCGCCGGTGCAGATCGCCCTGGCCCCGGACCTGAAGCGGACGGTTCGCACTGTCCTGGAACAGTGTCGGCTGCCCACCACCTACCTGGACAGTCTGCCGGCGGGACAGAGCGGCCGGCCGGCCCGCCCGCGCCGACCCACACCCCCCCTGGATGACCTGTTTGCTGAGATGGGTGCGGAGCCCGAGGCGCCGCCGCAGAGGCCCGAGATGACCCTGTTGTGAGTTGACGGCGGGATACTGCTGAGGTGGGATTACAATTTAAAAGAGCTGAGAAATTGGGATCTTTTGGGTTCTGTCGATGAATGATCCGTTTATTCGGCGGCACATTGTATAGATTCCTGTCAATGTGTATAAACCTCTTTGTTGCACACCATCGATTCCGTTCGCGTTGCCACGTGCTTGTACGTTCGCCCTACGTCTTGTTCGTTCTGCTTCGTTTTGCTTCGTACTTGCAATCAATTTGGCGCATTGCAACGAACTTCCGAACGCATTTAGCACATTCCTACACGTTGCAATAGACCGGTGAACTTATTCCACCTTGCTGTATCTGACTGCCTTCCTGACCACCTCCCTCTCGTCCTCAGCACGTGGCTGGCGCGCACCGGCGGCGAGACACGGCGCAGGGCGGCTGCGTCCGCGCGCACCCGCGCCGAGATCGGCCGCCTGCGCGCCGCGCTCGTCTCGCGACTGCATCTGTCAGCGATGGAGTGGCGCTGTGGCTGGGGCGCTGAGCACTTCCGGGGGTGTCTGCGCAGCTTTGACACGCTGGTCAACCACCATCCGGATGTTAGTGAGCTGCTCAGAGGTACGACGGGATGTCGAAGGAGAAAGGGAGGGAGGGAGCGAGTGGCTGACCTTGGAGTGTCGGGCACTGTGAGGATGGATTAGTCCGGAAATTGTGAAAAGCACTAGCGAACGAGACTTTCAGAGAAGGCTTGCAATAATAGGAGCCCGGCTGCTCGACTATATTTCACTCTGTACTTTCAGTTTTTTATTAGCGTCGAGACTGCTTATAGTACGTAATTGCAGACTAGCGTAACAAATGGGGCCTTGCTTGATTCTGAGCTTTGCCTGTGCGTGTTCAATGACTGGCCGCCACTTCCCTCGATGTTTTTTCTTTGGCTGTCGTCCTCACACCTCCCGCGCCGCTGCCGACAGACAAGACGGTGGTATTCGGTAACGAGTCGGGCGTCAGTCTGGACGGCCACCTGATCCTCAACAGCGGGGAGGTGATCACCAACTGGATCAGCGTGATCCGGCGGTGCGCCGACGACAAGCTCTACCTGCAGAAGGTGCCGCACCTGCAGCGCGCCCTCTCCCGCCACCTGAGGGACATCCAGGTGGTACACAGGTGAGCGGATGGTGTGGAGGGATACAGGGAGTTCTGAAAGTCGGGGAGGGGTGGATATATCCATGGGTGGGAGGGAGCGTGTTTTTGGTTTTGCCGATGGATAGTAGCCAAGTTAATCTAATTCATTCTGATGAACTGATCGTATGCATATTCGAAACAGCAACGTTGAGTAGGGTTACAAATAAGAAGTATGACATGCAATAATGAGTCAGTTGCCACCCATAGCGTCTTTTATTTATGCGTAGCACTTTCATACTGAACGTGCTACTCGTAAAACCCCGGCACGCTCCCCTTAGTTACAACTCCGCCCATTTGCCGTCAGGAAGTTTCAGCCGATCACCATGGTGACCAGCTACGAGCAGCAGCTGCGCCGTCTGGTGACGAGCATGGGCGACTTCTGGGGCAGCCATGGCTACCCTCGCTCGTGGCCCGACAAACTCAGTCACCTACAGTTGGTGGTCGAATCGTGAGTAGTTATGGTGGTCGAATCTTGAGTAGTACTCTGGTAGCCGTCTCTGCTGAGACTAACTGGGCGATGGGGTCTTATCGTTAGAAATGATGCAGTTGGTTTGTAGGTGATAATGAGAGTTGTCATTTGATATTTAATTTTGAATGTCCATGCTTCTCCAGTTATGCCGTTACCTTTTCTGAGATCTGAAATGAAAGGAATGTAAGGTCAGCGTTGTTGCAAGTCATCACTCAGTTCATTTTTTAATACGCTGTAAATTCTAGTCTGCCCGGTCGTCTATCTACCAATGCCATCTCGCGCTCGATTGACACCCTCACACTGTGTGTGCCGACAGCGAGTCGGGGCCACTGTTCCTGTCACCCATGGGTCAGATCATCGCCCCCTCCTCCTGTCCGCCTTCACTACTGGTGAGTTTAGCTGGACTCCTTGTCGCTTTCACTGTTGGTGAGTTAACCTGAGATAGACGCCCGGGAGCTCCGCTGGTGTTGACTTATGGCCCCGAGGACTCAAGTCAGCCCTACTCTCATGCGCTTGAATATTAGTTTAGGGATTCCGAACGGGTGTTCCCGATTATATTTGCTACCAGATCGATCTGAATTTATTATGCGATCTTGAACATCGCGTTCTAGTTGAGCTCGCTGAATGACACATGTGAGTTATGAATCCCGATCTTCTCTTGTCACACTGATCACGAAACTCCGCCAACCGGAGCGGACTCAGATATCGAAGCAGAGTCCCGTTATATGCGCCTCCCTCGTCAAGAATATGTGTCAGCTGCTAGCTTGCTAATCCTTTACGTGCTGTATCTTCATGTTACAGGTTCGGTATATTACCGATTGTATGGTGGAAGCAGAACAGAAACTGGAAGAGTACACTCGGTAAGGCGCTAACTTTTTCAGAAACACTATCAAATCAAACTCTTACATTTTGAATATATGTGTAAAAATGAACTTCTCTGACAATGTGTGTAATGAAATGTATGATAAAGTGTGACAAAGTAGTGTCCCCGGTTTAATCTTCCCCGCCCATTTTAGATACCCTCCCTCTCTGGTCTGGTCCCTAACAACCGCTCTCCCTTCGTAAGTCTTTCTCACGATGAGACGGCGGTGACGGCCGAGTGTGCGGCGGCGCTCGGTCTGCGCCGGCTGGAGAAGCAGGACAACATTCTACCGCAGCAGATGCTGGCCTGCTGCCGCCGACTGTTGGCACACCGGCACCGCCTGGCTCCAGTTCTGACCGACTGGCGTATCTCTGTGGCGCACTACTACGCCGTGGACGGCGATGGAGCGTGCACGCTACCGTGGGACTGGTTGGACTGAGGGGAGGGGTGGGTAGGATTTAGGAGAGTGATAGGGGAGGATGTCTTGGGTTAGAGAGTGACAGAGGACCAATTACCGGGACTGAGGGACAGTTGGGACCTTGTGAGAATGGGTGTACTGAAGAACCTGTGATGTGTGCGGAGGCGGACGGGGCATTGCGAATACTGTGACCTGCTGTATGTGGATTGACTAGAGGTGCTGTGTTAAAACTGATTGGGCCACGTTACTTGTTTTGACCGTTATTTCTGAATTTGGGCTTGACGGTACGGTGGCATTGTAGGGATTCGGTTTAACATAACTTGATGTTTTTCTGGTCGGCCAGTTCCCTAGATGTGAACCATGCCTGAATCCGTCGCTGGTTTGAACGACCTAGGATATACTCGTATGTTTGTGACCTACCGCATAGTGCAGTACTTTTCTTGTGATTTGCAAATGGAGCAAGTGATTCGTGTACTTTTAGGCAGTTGAACGCATTTCAGGACGTAGATTGAGACAGAACATAGTATGATGTCTCACGAGCTGTTTCTCTATGAGAATCTACTTTTTGACAAGGGGTGCCATTTGCGAAGAGCGAGGGAACTGTCATAGCTATACAAGTCAGTAAGTGCAGTCAGTGAGGGTGGAAAGCCATTCGTCTCAAGAAACTTCGCGAGACGTTAACGTTAGTAAGTGGCATTAGATATGGGGGACGAAGTCGCCAAGCGGCCAGATGGAAGTTCTCAGGGAATTGTCTTCGAAGGGAATCGATCAAATAACACGCACCGCGCTCGTATGCGTAAGTTGGCTAAGAAGTTGGCTATCGTTATGCTGGCCATTCATGTGCAATCGTTTCTTATTATCTACGTTTACATTTCTGCCCCGAAAATAATTGTTTTGGGGTGGGACTGGAAGTATTGCTAGCGAAAACATTCTTAGCGTATCGCTGTTATGGTTTTTATTGTCTTTCGACGCTGTAATGTCCTAATTTTCGACAGATGATGGCATTTTAGAGGCTACGACGGTGTATGTTTAAATAAAGCGGATCCCATAGTTTGAAATGTTTTTGGATATGGGTATAAAATGAGAGGTACGTGAGCTGAAGCGATGTTTGTGTGTCATGCTCCAGCGAAAAATGTGGCGCTGAAATGTCAGAAACTGTTGACGGCTATGGCAGAGGGCCAGAGGTTGATTATTGGTTACAGCACGTCAGCAATAACCTTAGTGCGTTGTTTCACAACCGCGTGAGAGACCCTGGTCGGCTGAGTGTCTAGTCTACTAGAGCGCAGCATAACTGTCCCGCTACCGCTACATTATCACGATAGATTTACCGTTCAGTGACGTGCCAGCCAGCTCTTCTAGCCTGTGTTCGTTCTTCGTATCTCCTACCAAGCTGTATCTCAATAGCGTCCCCGCGTCCAGTAAATCAGTATTAAATAGTAAATGTAAGGGACAACCTGTGCCACTTGTGCGGTGTTCTCGTCGAATGTGGCCTTGCATGCCGACTGTTCCGCCCTTACCGTAACAGTAAAATGAGGCTTGGATAGGGGCTGTGGGGCTGTGAATCGGGATGACTGTATGTATAATGCAGATAGGCCGGTTTGGAGGGATGGCATCAGCGTCAAGCTGTTGGTGTCCCCTGTGGTTTTCGGAATACACATGTGGTATTTTGTTTTGTGTCGAGCCAACGAGCAATGAGGAGAGCGATTTTTATCCCTACGTCCTGTTCTTTCGTGATTTGATCGAGGGACCGCCACAGATGCAACATACATAAGCGATATACGAGTACTTCGGAGACTGCCAGGCATGGACACAGTTTCAGTCTTCACAACGAGTGAATGATCTTTGATTTTTCGGGCTTTGATTTCCCTACTGAGAGCAATTTCTCCAAAGGTGCAAACTACTATCAGCGCTATCCCATGCCGAACAGTGCCCAACAACATGGGCACTGACGACCAAGACCCCCCCCCCCCCTCACCGTTTGACAAATTATTTGGTATCTAACAAACATTAGGCATGTCTTCCCCTAAAAAGTCTAGATCCGACTTACAGCACAAAATCAGCCATGAACACAGTGGGCCGTGAACACATGGAATAAGCAACCATGGTGCTGTGCTTTTCAACTTAACATCAACCAAGAGTAGTAAGTTTATTTGGCAGCTGCGTCATAGTATTAATTAGGCAAACAATAAAACAACGCCATTATTTGGATGAACCGAGAAGAACCTTTGTAACAAATGTAAACGCGCTTTGTAACGAGAAATTCGTAGAAAACATTCGCAGATGCACACAAAAAAGACGGCATTAGCACATCACATCTTCCTCCCGAATGAACGGCAGAGAGGCATGCATGAAATCGGCGTCTGATTATTCAGACAGGTAGCCCAGCTCCGGTGTGTACGTCTCATTAGTCGCAACGTGGGGTGGTGTGCGACTCGAGCCCTTCTGCTTTCAACTCGCCGTCACACCTCACGGCTTGAACCACTTAACCACTCATTTTGCACCAAACCGAAAAAAACTCATACACAGCACACCTTTGGCTCCTTCCATCACCGGACATCCTTGCACGAAACATCTTCCGCCATTTTCAATGCACCGTTTGATGAGCTTCATCCGACGCAGGCAGCAGCGTTGAACTCCAGCCTCGCGTCCCCTAGTCAAATAGCGCCTTTCCCGGCACTCTAGTCATGCCTCTCCCGGGTCTCTAGCGTTCTTCCAGGTTCAACAGCGTCCTTCCATCCCCACCTGTACTGCTCCAGACCCTCCCGTGCCCCTCAAAAACCCATCAGCTCCCGGCTCCCGGTCGTCATTCGTCCTCGTCTTCTGCGGTGGCCGCGCGTGTGGAGTTGTAGTGCTCGCCGAGGCCGTACATGTGCCGATGGTAGGTGATGAGGAGGGTGTTACCGGGCCGCCCGTCACCCAGCACCACCGGGGCACCCTCGGCCTGCACCACTTCAATGGTGCGGTCCAGAGCGGCCGACAGAGCTGCCACCTGTCGACGGGGGAGGGAATGTGACTACGAGCGGCTGCGATACTGGGGCACAGCGTAGGGGTGACGGCACTAGGTGCTTCGAGTAAGGCTTCTTAAACCATGCCGCTATAGGATTCTCACATCATCAGGCACAGACTGATCAGTAATAAATACCATCCTGCCTCTCATACTCGCATATTTAGTCCAACCATTACAAGACAGATAAACGACTAACCCACTGAGCTATGCTATACAACTGCCTTAATCTCCGTAATCGCCCACATCGGTCATGCTTTTCCAAGAATCCTCGTCTCTACCACGGACTACCACGGCACGGACATCAAGCCTGTGCTACCGCGTACACAATGCCCGATTCTCCGTGACAGGCCATGCCAATTGCCAACTCAACCCAACTAGATTGGCCGACCATCAAAACATATAATGCCTCACACCTCGGTCATCAGAGGTTCTCCAACACCAGCCTTGAGCTTTCGCTGTTCACCCACCTCGGTCATGCCTCCCCAGGCGTTGGTATCGGCCACTAGCCGGCAGTAGCGCTCGTAGCCCTCGTCCGAGTACATATCCCCAGTGGCTGGGTCTGTGAGGAACGGTTTGTACTCGTCCGGGTGCTTCGTCAGCTCGTCAGCGGTCCGTTGACGCAGTGAACCGACCGAGAGGCCAGAGGACGTGCCGCCCAACTGGTGGAGTACAGCTGCGTATAGACTGAGGGCGAAAGGGGGGGGGGGTAATAACTTGGTGGTCGAGAGAGGGAGGGTGATTGAAGATGCATTATTACTAACTTTTGTGCTGGGATGCATGATACTTTGTAGCTTAAAAAAACATCTTAACACTAAACTGGCATTAAACTAAAGCATGATACGGTAAAATGACTAAATAACTGTCTAGTAAAAATCGATGTACGAAGACAAACCACCTATCTGTCCATTGTTCGCTCTCTGGCTCCCCTACGCCCGCCACTGACCAGTCTCCATCGGACGGTATCAGGTGTATCGCCCTACTCCGCTCGCGCAGTCGGGCCCGTATCGCCTCCGTCTCCAGGTGGCGTGGCCCCTCCAGGTTGGCCACCTCCTGTTCAGCGATGGCACGCTCCCGCTCGCGCTGCTGCTCTGCCTTTTTGTCCCGGCGGCGCTGCGCCTTGGTGACACGCGGTTCGCGTGGCTCGCGGACTGAGAGGTTTTCCACGGCGTCTGTGGCGACAGCCACGGCTGTGTCCTCTGCGGCTGCCTCCGGCTGGTGGGTGGGGAAGGTAGTCAGTGGTTCAGCCTAACTTCCATCTGTCATCCGGCTGTGGCACGGATGACGGAGCGCCTTGTGTTGGGCTAAACAGATTATTAGCACTATCACTAAGCTAGAGGTGCGACGATAACTTGTCAAATGTCAACCAATAATTCCATCAAGCAGGTGGGCAGCTGCTTAGGGGAAAGGGGCTACGGTTGGCTACGGTAGCGAGTGTTAGGCATGAGGCTCTCACAACCTCATCATTTGATACAGACCATGATTTATCAGCGCATCATCTACGGGCACATCGGTGCACTCACATGCTGTTTCTGTAGCACGGACGACAGGGCATTTATCTCCTCGGCGTGCCGCTTCTGTAGTTCGTGCTCCATCTTATCAGTCTGCTCGGCCAGCTCCTTCTTCTTTTTCTTGTCCGTTTTCGATATCGACTTCTTCATGGACAAAATTTTACCTGGATCACCGTAAATGTTGTTACAGTATACCCCAACAGAAGCGGTCATATGCATTTTTAAGCGGGTGGTGCGAAACGACGCAACAAGATTCAAACACCAAGAAAGTAAGAAGTAAGAACACAGCAACATGACACGAAAGACGAATTGGGATAACACGTGTGTGAATGTGCGCAATATGATCCACTCTTGCAACATGTTTTACAGAGAAAATGGATGAAACTGAAAACATCATACATAATTGGAGAGCATTCCCAAAATACTTAGCCAATGAATTCCTCCGCTGCTTCCCAGAGAACGTACCTTGCAGTTCCTTTTTCTCGTGTTTGTGATTGGCAAGGAGGGCTGCCATCTTATCCTCTCCGTCACCGCCGCCGTCGGCTGATGTGGGGTCCATGACTGCTACTACTGACAGGTCGGCAGTGCTTGTCTCGCTCAGATAGTTATCTGGAGGGACACGTTATGAAAACAGTGATGGTTGTAGTCTAGGATGGAGAGTCGTTTTAGACGTCGTTTTGGGAAGGATATGCTCTGATGTGGGACTTTGTTTGATAAGCAAAAGAACATGACATTTACAGGAAAGCAATACTGCATATTAGCCGATTAAGGTTAAACATTTTGAAGTTGTCGCGCTCATGAGTGCTAGACAGCTCCATACCTCACGTGAAAAGAGCTGTTACATCCCACAGAAAGGCATATATTGCAACTCGTGTATGCATTTGACAAATATATGCCATCGAAGTTCTACAGATCCTCAGCATACAATCGATTTGGCCAAAAAAAAAGCAAACCATAACTGCAGCCGCTTTACGAAAGGAGCCCACACTAATATGTAGCCTTGTCATGGTCACGTTGGTGGTAA